GCAGTATGTGGGGAGGGGACAGGGTGTGGGGTGACAGTTTGTGGGGAGGGGGCAGGGACTTGGCAAAAGGAGAAATCATCGCTTACCTTCCTGTGATTATACCATGTGGACCAGGCATGGTCTCCTCTGTCCCAGTCTGCCTCCTATGTGGTGTGCTCGGTCCACACTCCATGTATCAGTCAAGGGGTGTGGATGCGATGTTGTGCAGTGTTATACCCTGGGCAATGTTCTGCTGGGACACTTTGGGTCCTGGCATTCATGTGGATGTTACATGTGCAACCTACCTAGAGATTGTTGCAGACAATATACACCCCTTCATGGCAATGGTGTTCCCTGATGGCAGTGGCCTCTTTCAGCAGGACAATGTTCTCTTCCACACAGAAAAAAACGCTCAAGATTGGTTTGATGAACAGGACAAAGAGTTCAAGTTGTAGCCTTGGTCTTCACATTTCCCAGATCTCAATTCGATGATTGAGCATCAGTGGGATGCTCTGGAACAATAAATACGATCCATGGAGGCCCCACCTTGGAACTTGCAGAACTTAAAGTGACACTATAGTCACCAAAACATCTTTAGCTTAATGAAGCAGTTTTTGTGTATAGATCATGTATCTGAAGTCTCACTGCTCAATTCTCTGCCATTTAGGAGTTAAATCCCTTTTGTTTCAGTCCATGCAGATTGAATTCTTTGAAAAAGTTTATTAAAATGAGGCCTTAGACAGATAAGTGTCAATCCATCCATAACATTTTGACAGGCTGCTGAGGGGCCATGCTGCTGTACTACTGGCACCATGATAGTACATTGTAATGGGTATGGTGTTTAGACTAGTCCTTTACGTCCGGTAGGATTGCCTTGGGTTTTTCCTTAATTTCCATTTTAAAGTATTTACAATCTGTAATTCAGGCTCATTCGGTCTTGCATAATAATTTGTGATATGTCTGAAGATCTGAGCAGCTTAATCAATAGAAAAAATGTCCAACGCTCTGCATTTCCATGATAGCCACGGCTGCTCTGTCATTTATATGCTACATACAGTGGGATATAACACTCAGAGTGCTGTGCCACAGTTGACATTTAATTTCTCTCTTTCATGCCAGAATTAAGCACAAAAGAATGTTAATTCAAATATGTATTTTGTTATAACATCTTCCAGTAGTCATAGCTAGATTTTCTCTTTTAAACTTAGTGACTGATTCCATTTCAACCAGAATCTTGGCACTTGTGCTGTGTTCATCCAACCTCTAAAAATAGCATTATACCATAACTGGAAATGCAGTCAAGAAACAGTTAGGCTTTTTAGCTTATACATTTTGCTATCTTCTTCCAATCTCCCACTTGATGGATAAAACCCTCTATCTAAAATCCCATAAGGAGTACATTTTTTTTTTTTTTAAACTCACTCCACTCCAAAAGCTATTTATGCCCTATTAATATTTTCTCCAGGTATTATACATACTTAATGAGATGTAACATACACATGCTTTTATGTACTGAATACAATTTAGGAAAATGTGGCATCCTTGCATTTCTTTTCTCAACATACTATAGAAAATAGTTAATGTCTAGAAATAAAAAAAACCTTTTTTTTATACTAACCCCATTGTTACATGATATGAAGTTAATAACCTTGTACTTTATCTCAGCATTGTGAGTTAGTGCAGTCACAAGCCATGAATTCTGCCTTATGATCCCCTTGTTAATTACAGTGGCAGTCCATGTATGGTGCAGCACTAAATAAAAGCTAGGCAAGTGTGAATTTGCAAGGTGGTAATAACATCTCTTACTCAGGTGACATAAAATACTTGAGCTTGTCTCTTGTGGTTTATAACACTGTCACACCAAGCATTCAGTGTTATTAATACTACCATGTAATCCTGTTACTTCTCTTTGTTGTAGACATATATTTCATATTTATAAGCACAGTAAGAATAAATAATATAATATGGGGGCATGGCCTGAATGGAGATGGAGATAGCCGCATATGTCCGAAGCTCCTCTGCAACCAGACCATGGCATGGACAACACCTGTAATGAGCTGCAAAACATCAAAAGAGCTACCTGAACATTACATAATAAGAGTAGGGTGGATAGAGATGTGGACACCTCGGGAAGCAACCAGAAAACAACCAAGGTATTGGTTGCAGACATGTTAGCAGCACCCCGAAATACAAAGCAGTCCTCTCAAGATGGCAGCAATTTGAACCAGCACTTTCTATCAAAGATTCAACCAATAGGGGAAGTGGACACAAAAAAAGGAAATGCAGGCACTGGGAGGCACTAGCTCAACTACTAAAACACATGGTCAAAGCTCACAATACAGCCATTGGACACTCAAACCCCTTGGCATCCAGACGGGAACAAATGGAAAATATATTAGAAGACCTCAGCAACTGCTCAAGATGGAAGAACTTAAGTGTAAATAAGTGGTTTAATAAGGTCTGGGGAGTGGGGAAACGGTCTTAACTTTTAAAATTAACCTTTTAAATGCACTGGTGCATAAGGTATAGTGTTTTTAAAAATATATATCACAACATTAAATATAAATACAATATGAAAAGCCTAGATTACAAAATGCATATTTTGAATGTACTTGAACATGATATTAAAAATAAAAATGCTAATTTTTATGCACCTAAAATCCTATATCTTCTTTAACGTCTACAGCTAAACTGATTCATCATCATTTTCAAAGCATTAACTTTCTTGTTTTTACTGGACAGTGCCCAATCAAATGCACACTGGCACATTGAAAACAAAAACATATATGAAAGTAAATATTAGCAACAAACATAAATAATTAAATACAGTATATTTTACAAATTATAATCATAACATAAAATACTCACATTGTGCATGGAGGGGTTACATAATGTTATTCACTGATTGGTTTCAAATAATTATTGTTTATTCTTAGGAAGTTTTTCATTCTTTTCTAACCTTTGGCCTCCCTATAACATTGTTGGCTAAGCTTTCAAATGATTTCATATATTTGGATAAACTTTTCAAATGTTTTTTGATCATTTGTGTGCAAACAAAAATTACAGTCCTCTAGACTGTAAGCTCGTTTGAGCAGGGTCCTCATTAACCTCTTGGTCCTGTAACATTTTGAAATTGTCTGATTGTTAAATTTCCACCTTTTATAATGCTGCAATATATTGGCACTGTAAATTACAATAATAACAATTTATTTACTTTTTTCCCTACACAAAGTATATGATGATTTGAGTTTCAACCAGTTTTCAACATGCCATTGTCTAAGTAATAATTACCTTGGCCTCTTTATCTCACTTAGATGTTTATCTTCTTATTGGAAGTAATTATATAGTTAAATCATCCTCCCTGAACTTTTAAGCTCTCCCATGTAGGACTTATAATCTCAGTAATTGCACTGAAAATGATTTACGGGATAGGGAACATATTCACAGATATATGTATTTATTTCATAATTGAACGTAGTAAAAATATCAAAAGAACAAACCCCCTATAGATCCATGTATTATTCATAAGATTAGGTTTATTTCTTTATATCTGCCCACACATTGACCTTTATTGCTCATTGATAGGCTCCTGGGCTACCAAGAGCAAGGTCAACAGAGGGCAAAGAAAGAAACCATTCACACTTTTGAAACTATGTTTAATTTTCAGTGCAAATACTTAATCTAATAATGTTCTAGCATACAGTCTCATACAGATCTTTATTTGGATCTATATATGTTGAAATTTAAAAGTATTGGTCATCTTTATAGTATTTATTTTTAATTTCACATTGCTGTTAATCGCACTATCAAAAAGTTTGACTTCTATCTTCACCGTGACAAGGAATGAACAGAATTTGTCCAAACTAAATATTATCTTCTTTAAAGGATATCATTTACTCTGGCTTCTTCTGTTCAATGTCTGGCGCCCAATGAACATACAGATCTCAGAAACAGCAATTTATGCAAGCAAATCCATCATTGTCACTTTTTTTTTTGCACTTTTATCATATTTACATTTTTTTCTTGTTTTCCTTAATTTTCTGCCCACGGTCGATATCTGTTAACAGCCAAAAACTAAGTTAAATAATCAGGACCCTTTCCTTGTCATATGTTTTAAGAAATATTTTACAAAATTAATTTGTGTTCAAGCCACAAAAAATCCTTTAGAACGATGGCATGTACTTGGCATAGAATAGATTGTTCTAGGCACTACCTAAGTGAAGAGTTTTTTTATATTTAAATTCAATAGAATAGTTCAAATAAAGAGTAAATTAGAAGTATGCAAAATCTCTAATTGAGGTGTCACACCCTCCCATGATTCTTCTCTTTGAGCTGTAGTATATAGGAATGTAGGAACATTTTATTTATGTATGGTTATAGCTTCTAAATGTGCTCATTGTATTTATAATATTCCTCTATGTTAAGCTTTTGAATGTGGTCAGTAAGTTAGTGCTGAGAAAAAAGGGTGAATAGACTTAGCAGTAGAACTTGCAGAACAGGAAGATTTTTAGAGAATTAGAAAAATAATTAAAAAAAGAATACATTATTATTAATTTTTAAATTTTACTACATTGTTCAACAGCATTAAAAATATGCATTTTTGGGGGGCATGTCCTAGCAGTTCACCAAGATGAACGCTGCCTGCTCCTCCTGGGGGATCTTTAATCATCGACTACCCAAGCGATTTTTAGAAAACAACAAATACAGGGTGCGCCAAGAAATAAATAATTAAATATAATAGGAAAGGCAAAAAGATACCAGAAAAACAAGGAAACAAAGTCTCTAGTTCACAGTTATTTTCTTCAGAAATACGCAAGACATCTTGGGTCAAATCCTCATCAGCATATGTAAAAGAAAAGACACACAGGGGACCAATGGTGCAATAACTTAAAAGACCATGAAGACCAAGAAAGGTGAAGCAACATACGTCTGAGTGGCATACCGGAAGATGTACTTCCCCAAGATCTGGCTAACTACACCATGGATCTTTTTAAATCTTTAGTACCAGAGCTATCTCCTAGAGAACTACTCTTGGACAGGATACACAGGTTGCCACGGCCACAAAACCTGCCACAGTGCTTGCCCAGAGATGTAATCACCATACTACATCACTTCACAGCTAAGGACAAAATCATGCAAGCCGCACAGCGCTCCCCTGAAATGGCGGGCAAATACTCAATGGTGAAACTCTTCACTGACCTGTCGGCCTCAACTCTCCTGAAAAGCAAGCATCTCACCCCATCTCACACAAAAATTGCATACCGAATATCTGAAATATAAATAGCGGTTCCAGGCACGCATAATTATCAGCCATAACAGGACAACTAGACATGTCACCATGTCACAGCAGTAAAGCTGCTGTGGAAGATTCCAGTGCAGATGCCTAGAAACCAAGCTTCACAGAAGATACTCCACCATTCACCATCAAAAATCACCACTGATTGGCATGCAGCTGCAGAGTGAAGTGACTGAGCAACTAATCTCTTCCAGTTGAACTGACAGATAAGATATCTCTTCCAGTTGAACTGACAGATAAGATCTACAGTATATACTCGAGTATAAGTCTAGTTTTTCAGCACATTTTTTGTGCTTAAAAACCCCCACTCGACTTATACTCGAGTCACTGTTTGTATTATGGCAACTTAGAGAGCCGCGGCCGTCAGAGCCATGGCAACGATCCGCGCGGCAACCAGACCGTGAGACTTACAGTGGAGGTGACCGTAACGGAGGAGAAGGGAGCTGACAGGAGCTGCAAGAAAGGTAAGTAAATGCTTCCTGCCAGCCCCCCCACTTCACAGCCCATGCCACTGGACCACCAGGGATTAAGATAGCCCTCCTCCCTGACCAGTTAACAAGCAGGGAGGAGGGACAAAATAAAATTAAAATAATAAAAAAATAATATTAAAATAAAAAAATTAAAATAATAAAAATGCCCTCCCCCCACCCAGTTCACACACTACACAAACACACACTGTGCATTATATACACAAAGTGTGTGTATATAATGCAGAGTGTGTGTTTGTATGAGTGTATGTGTATATAATTATAAAAATCACAGAATTTCATAGCCTCAAGTTTTACCCTCGACTTATCCACGAGGCATAGCATATTTCACAATTGTTGGTCACAAAACTGCATTCGACTTATACATGAGATCGACTTATACACGAGTATATACGGTAACTAATGCTATTCATGCTAATGTTTTCCTTTTGTTTTACGAGTGATTATGTTTACTTCACTATAATTTTATTTTTACCGTGGCTAACACCCGCCTTGCGGGGACTACTTTCTTGTTAATAGGGAAGTTGCAAGGACGTCCCAGCTTTCCCCCCATACTGTGTTGCCACACTGTACACATTAAAAATTATTTGAGCTCAAACATATTGGCTCCCACCAAGGGGCATAATATCCCTCACTGGAGGTTCCACCCTCCACAGGCTCTCAAGAAGCATTTTTAATCAGTTTGTACGCGAACGCACTCATTTTGACGGAACTTTGTATATAGTTATTGTTTCCCTTTTATGTTTTTTACATCCTCTCACTCCCCTGCTATGTTAACCTCTAGACCTGGTCAACCCCAGGTCATACATCACCACACGACCCTAGATATGGCGTCCCCTGACAACACCAAACTCACAGTTAGATGTGAGTGTCTCTGGGCAGAAAAAGGTAACCCCTGAAAAACGTGATACTTTATGGGACGAAATGCCATCCATGAGGCTTGTGGGTCTCTGGGAGACTTATTGGCGAATGGGCAGCTCCACCGACCCCCAGCGACATACCCAAACCAGATCACTATTTACGACAGGGTGAGACACCAGTCACAACTGAAAGCGTGCTCGACCCAGTCCAAAATTGCACACATTGATTCTCACACAAAAGGTAAACTCCTTCACCTGCAGGATATAGTTAATGAATTTGCAGCATCTACAACACTCTTTACAACCTGAAAGAGGACAAACTCACTCCACCCCCATCCACTGAATCCATACAGAACTTCTTACACTCCGTACAGTTGCCTCAATTACTGCCAGACAAAATCAATCTCATCTCTGCTCCCTTCACTGACATGGAGATAGTGGGGGCTATAAAAAAACCTCGCAGCCAACAAGACCCCTCGACCAGATGGCTACTCCAATGCTTATTACCGCAAATTTGCAGACCTTCTTACCCCGCACATGACAATACTCTTTAATGAATATTACAACAAAGGCGCCCTTCCAAGCATTATGTTAATTGGACACATTTTCATCATTCCCAAACCCAGGAAATCCCTACTGTATGCCCAAATTTCCACACCATCTCCCTCCCTGCAGGGAACCTTTAAACTGAACTGATATCGAAAGCTCTCGGGCTTCGGGCACTTTATTGATAGACATCCTATGGACGCCTAAACATCTCAGGTGTAAGAATATACAACTATTCCCAACTACGCTACTCTCTATACACCAATGGGATCATTTATGGTCATGACTGGGCAAGAGTAACAAATTTAGTCTAGCAGCCCCAATCACGGCTCTATCAGGGATATCCCCATGGTTTACTTTTCGCTCATGACTGAGCAAAGGTATATCAAGCATAAGCGATATTTGGAGCGAAGGCTGCCTCATCCCCTTCCCAGACTTGTAAAGTACATACAACCTGCCAAACTCGTATATCTTCCAGTACCTTCAACTAAAGAGTATTGTTATGTCACATGTCCAATCAGACGCTGACTCAAGCCAGGTGTTAAGTGACACGTCAAGTATTATTTTTGATAGGTGTTGGACAGCACTCAAGAAACCCAAAGCCCTCTTGGAATGTTAACGTGCCCACTACCAGAGATGGAATTCTTGTTTGCCCAATAATGGTCACTAGAGATAGACTGTGACCCAAGGATTGGATTAGGACTCTCAATGCTTTGACAGGGGTCACTATGTGCTATTCCCATATAGAGGCACATAGGAAATTGATCTACTGGTGGTACCTCATGCCAAAAAGATTACAAAACATTTTCCCCCACACCTCCAGCCTCTGCTGGTGATGTGGAGAAAGTGTAGGCACCATGACACACATCTGGTGTTATAACCCCATTGTGGGACATAGTGGCTCAGATACTGACACATATTGGTGCTCATGATCTAACTATTGATGTATATACCTGTTTACTGTTACAATTTCCCAGACACTTACTGGCAATTTCCAAACAGGTCGGCCCATTGATATTCATGGCTGCAAGACAACTTATTGCTCTCAATTTGAAACAACAAATCTGCCCCACCCAGTTCCAACTATTAGAAAAGATCCACTTATTTTATTTATACGAAAAAATAGCAGCAGAGTCCGCCAGGTGATATACCTCCATCCAGAAAGTGTGGCAACCATGGGTAGACTACTACTACTACACCATAAGGGCACAAACCCCTCCCACCCCACCACTAATGGGCTAAGCAAAGAGTTTGACCCGTACCTCCCTCTCTAATAATAATAATAACAACAACGACAATGTTGTGTAAGACCCCAGCAGGCCTAATGTGGTTGACCTCCCTCCCCCCCCCCCACCCCATACCTGGTTCCTCCCTTTTTTTGGTACCCTGTTCGTCCCGTCTCCCAGTGCAGACACACAACAAGATAGAGGTACAGTCCAAAACCACCCAAGAAATGGCCTAAATGGCGATTAACCTGAGGTAAATTGCCTATTACATGTTAGATTAGGTAACACATGCATGAACATTGTACACGACTGTATGGTCCATCCTCTATTTTGTATTGTATTTACCCTTGCCTGTGTTGCAGTGGGAGATAGCCAGGGTCATTGAGTCTAGCGTGAGACTAGGTTTACCTGTCTACGGTATCTAGCTAGCAACGACTGCCAGATGCACTCAAACACTATAGTATTAGGTATACAAAACTGTATAACTCTATGGTGTCCCTCTGACCTCTTCCAGTAAGTAAAGGGTTAAAACCCCTTTTTACACTTGCCTGATTCTAGTGCCAATTAATCAGAGAATCAAAAGTTGCCACCAAGGCAATATATAAATGGAGGGCCATATGTTGCTCCAAGCAAATCATATTTAAAAGCCCACAAACACAAGTTAACCAAATCTACACCTACAAAAGTCAAAAATAAAAAGGGAAAAATTAACAGAAAATCCTAGTTATTCAGTTTGCTAGTACAATAATTGCATTTTTTGTTCCCGGGGATGTACCAGTAAGAAAAAAATGGGAACTCATATTAGATTTGATTCCCTGCAAGCTCATTTACATGTCATAGTTTTTATACCCTTTGTACCCATCTCGAGTTACCAAGCTGACCCCAAAGAAGATATAAGGAGGAGTGTAGGGACTCTAGGTTGATTACACATTCCCGTTCACATTTTGGCCGATGTAAATGACAACCTAAATAAAAACGTTTAGAAAAATGCTTTTATATTTTCCTGGATGCCTGGCACAGAAATATGTGTTAACATATGTGGAACTGTCACATTTTATCTTTATAAGAAGACACTTTTGCTACTTAAAATAGCTGACTTTCCAAATTCCTCCAAATGGCTTAAGGTACATGAGACATGCTTGGATTTCTTTTGTAGGAAATACCCTCAGTATTTAGAATATGTATAACAGGAGTCACGATTATCGACCTATGAGTGATTATTATGTATTTATTTTTTGTAAAGACTCTCAATAGAAAATTGTCCCTTGATTCCTAATTGTGAAATAGCATATCAAAAGGTCAGAGGCCTGAGTTGTAGCAGGACTACAACAGACATGTATCCAGCAAGTCTGGGGAAAAGTACACATTATTATTTTATTATTATTTTATTATTTATATAGCACCAGCAAATTCTGTAGCACTGTACAATGGGTGGACTAACAGACATGTAATTGTAACCAGACAACTAGTTGCACAGTAACAGAGGGATTGAGGGCCCTGCTCAATGAGCTTACATGCCAGAGGGAGAGGGGTATAGTGACACAAAGGGTATAAGTAGAGATAATGAAATAGGTTGCAAGAAAAGTAATCACTGAGAACTTAGTAGGTTATTTTTGACAGTTGCAGGAGAGCAGTCATGGGGAGGGAGGTTGGGGGGGATGAAAATCCTCTAACAGTTTAAATGAGATGCTTTCCTGAAGAAGTGCATTTTCAAAGATTTTTTTGAAGGAGTAGAGACTGGGTGAAAGTCTAACGGAAAAGGAAA